CCTGTATAAAAACATAGTGTTTGCGAGGTTTTACCAATGTACGAAAAGGAGTGCCAGAATAAACATAGTGTGTGAGCCCTCACATCGCCATCCGCCAATTGTCTGAGTTGTACGGTTCTTATTCAACTAAAGTAAATTTGCTCCACCAAAGAGCCAGCCAACTGACCGCCAGAGGTACACACTGCACACGGTGCACAACACCCACTGGTTAGCTGCTTAATAATCTTTCTCCCACTAGTAAGACGAAGAGATAGAGAGAGAGAAGACTCTCGGCTCTGAATACATAATACACGTGCTTCCACAGTAGAATCATGTGTTCTGTGACATTGGGCAGTTGAGGCTATACAACAGAGGAACCCGGTTGAACCGCTAGTGGAGCTATTCCACCAACATCATGCTCGTTCCAAGGGTGGCGGTACCCGTATTTCGAGGCTTGACTGATTTTTGGGTCGTTTTTTTGGGTTAGTGTTTCACAAAGCTCGCAACTGCATAATAAGGTCATATAAACGGGCGGGACACACCAATTTTCAATTGGTAGGAAATTTTGAATTTTGCCCGGGTGGCGCCCGAAGCCTACTCTTATCAATTTTAGACCACAACTTGCACATGATCCCTCCGAGATTTTTTGCCCTTGTCCAAGAAGGCTAGGTGTAGATCTTTCCTACCAGAAAATCAGGGGTGTGGCGGAATAGTAGCAGTAAGAAGGAGCCAAGGAGTAGTAGAAATAGAAAGGCTGCTGAGAGTATGTCCAATCCATCACCACACCGCCTACTTCCTACCTCACCTCTGACTTGGATCTGTCTTAACACTCCCTCGTTGGTGACCCTGTCTGTCCATCTGATCCTCAGTAACTTTCTTAGAGACTTGCTCAAGAAAACCTGGATCCTCTTTATGAAAGTCTGTGATACATTCCATATCTCAAATCCATACAACAGGCCTGACTTCACATTTGAATTGAAAATCCTCAGCCTTCTGTCGAAGTGAGATATCACGGGTCTTCCAAATCCTATCGAAAGATATGAAAGCAGCTTACGTTTTTCCAATGCGGGACTTTATTTCAGCACCTGTTCCTCCCTCTCTGTCAATTATACACCCAAGATAGCAGAAGGATTCAACGTCTTCTAGAGCATTTCCTTCTACTCTGACCCGCTCCTTTTGTTGTGCATCTGTCCTTGGGACCTTTGACTTTCCGGGATGGGTCCTCAATCCAACAGACTCTGATAGGCTGCTTAATACTGAAGTCTTTGCTTGCATCTGTTCCTGAGTGTGTGACAGAAGTGGTAGACTGGTAGAGACTATAAAGACAAACTGTGGCCAGCCTTAGTTCATCTTTCTGTTTTGTGCAATAACCATGTGCAGCGACAAAAAACAAGTGGCAACCAAATACATGTACAGCTCCAGCTGAACTGTAGCTCAATACAAACTGAAAATGTCTGCTGGATCAGATGCTAAGCCATAATGTGTCAAGGACCCAATATATGTACTGGGTGGGTTTTTTTCTTCTTTTTCTACCCTATACCCTGAGCGTGAGTCCTCACCATATAGAAGCAAAAGGTTCACAGGTGCCTTCCAACCTTTTGGTCATCGGGCTGATGTCAGGTGAAGCCAGATATTTTGACAACAGGCCAAGGTGACGCAGTTCCTTTTCAGTTTTTCCTGGCCATTTTAAAATTTAATTCCATTATTATTTATTTTATATTTGCCATAGCCTAAAAATAATAGCATTTGCGTAATCAGGAGCAAATCGACGACAACCTCAAAAAAGTGCTGAGCTCGCAGAGACCTGAGTGGGAAAAAGATGATAATCAAGCAACCACCTATGGGGGCTGTGTAGCGTGTGTATTGTACCTCTGGCGCCATACAATTCAGACGGCAGATGGCGGTGTGAAGACGCAAAAATTTATTTATATAGAGGCATCCTTTTCATACATCGGCAAAACCTGGCGGTAAGCTGGGTTGGCGGTACACAGCGCGGGGGGGGGGGGGGGGGGGGGGGCGCGGTATAATAAGATTTGACTGTAAAAGGAATGCTCCTATTGTAACTCATTCAACACACTTCCAGAAAAACTATGTTATATATGTGGGTTTCGTGTTACACCCAAGCACTGTTCGAAGCCTTCAATCAGCTCTGTGAAAATGGACAAAACCTACTTGACAAAACAGGATAAATGAACTGACACTGAAAGTTGTAGGGTTAAAAAATATCAATCATCAATCACAGTATGAACCACCACAAAACCATCCTAATTTACTTTTAGCTAACTGTATGAAAATAAAAGGATGAATTATTTGCACATGAATTTCTTCTGAAATAGACAAAAGAGAAAGTAACTTTGATAACTTAAATGCAAAGATTGATAACTATTTGCAATTTGCTTTGATGAGCTTTATTATCTCATATTTTTTTTACAAGAAAGAGCATAATACAATGAACATTTTTGGCAGACATACGTCTGTATGAACTTCATCTGACAGAGTTATATACAATTGTTTGTTTTACATCAAAATTTGAATAATCAGAGAATCCAAAGAGTGAAAGACATAAAATGTTTTAAGACAGGATGATGCCTGCGAAGTCAAGCCTTAACGCTTTCCTTCTTATTTGCAAATCATTTCAACCACTCTTGCATTACTAGTTTTTTAAAGCAGCAAGCAAAATGTAAAAGCAGAGTTTCGTCGAGGCATAAAAATTCATTCGCACAGTGCTGAAAAGGACAAGCTTGCACATGTCATCTGAGCGGGCATCTATGTCTATAAGTGACTAACAAACATACACACAGACTGTTTGCTAGACTAAAGAGCAGAAAATCGACACAATGATCATTTAGTGCCGGAAAAGAGCAAGACGGATTTTTTTAAAAACCAAACAAACAAACAGAGAAAGTAAAGAAGTAAGACCTACCAGCGGTGTCTTCCAATAACCAGCAGATAAACATAAAGAAAGACAAACAAAAATACAAGGGGGTAGAGAGAGAGCCAAACAAACATTTCTGAAAACAAAAAGTATGCATGCACAAACAGGTGCATTCATTGAATTGATTTTAAAACAAACACTCAAATATTTTAGAACTACCTAAGATTCCCCAACATTCCAGCATTTCACAGACTAAGAGATGTATCTTCAATTTCTTTGATCCCTTTTTCCAATGCTTGAGACTGAAAACAGTACAACCTGAATAATTGTTTTAGAAAAATAGAAAGTGCACCCTGTTTGACTTGACAGAGCACAGAGAAAAAACGGGTTGAGGTAAACAGATATTGTGATATCACTGAAATGGGCAACAGAGGAATTATTTCCATATGGTGGACAACCCATGAAGTGTTCCCAGGGGGCTCTCATGGTTTAGTGTTCACCTCACATTCAATTGGTCTCAGGTTCAAAACTTGAGAGCGACGGAAATTTTTTTTCTCTAAAATGTCCCCCTGTCATCTCCTTTCCTGCTCCTAACCATGTTCTGTTGTCTGCTTTCATCTTCATTTTCTGCCTCCCCCCCCCCTTATTTTCCCCCTCCTCTGGGTTCCTGACCCTTTCTGCAGACTTCCTCTTCTGCTACTTCTTGGCTCTTTCTTACTGCTGTCTTTCAGCAACACCCCTGAGTTTAGGGTAGGTAAGATCTAACACCTAGCCTTCTCGGATAAGGTAAAAAAATCTCAGAGGTCTTGTGTGCAAGTTGCGCAAGTTAAAGATCCCTTGGTGGTCCTAAGATCGATATGAGTAGGCTTCGGCCGCCATCCAGGCAAAATTCCTACCAAACTGAAAATGCTTATTGTGTACTGCACATAAATAAGACCTTATGCAGTTGTAAGAGCTGTAAAACTTTTGCCAAAAAAAAAAAAGAAGAAAAAAAACAGAAGTGTTCCCTTGATTGTTCGAGCGTTTCAATGAGTAGTCTGACTAGGTCTGAGAAAATACAATTTGTTAGCCTGCATTGCTGATGTACAAATCAGTGATATAACAAACAGGCCAGTCTGGATCCGAAAACTGGGGGTGGCACCGAGAGTGCGTTAGAGAGTATGCAGTACAGGAAGTACATTGCGTGG